TTTTGTGATAAGTAAAATAAATAATTTAGAGTTGTTGATGTGTAAACTTCCATTTTACTCATGAGCTTTTTCGTGTTGAGTCACTTCTGGGTCACGGGCCGTTCGCCTCCCCAGACTCCCGTAGACAAGTCATTGTAAGATTTTGGACATGCGCAGTAAGTCCCCAATGCAAAAGAATACAGTGGCTTATAGCGCAGCTCGTTACCTCCCCGCAGCTGACCTCTCGTATTCATTTCTATGGGCTCCACCGTCAACGACTCAACGTCATATTAATATGGCAGCCCTGCTAGCTGCTGCAGGCGGATTTTGAAGAACAACAAACAAGAATGAAGGAGAAAACAGCACCGTAAGTCTCTTATATAAACCTTTTCAAAGCAGAACATATGAGGAGAAACTTAAAGTGAAGTAGCTTGGACCGGATAAGCCAAACACAATAAAAAATTGAGCAATAACATGGTTTAGCATTAAGGCTTGGCTACATGCTGTTAGCCATTTTGTAACAACTGGTCATCCTCGATCTGAATGAATGAAATATTTTCATTGAATACTTTATTCTAAACAAAGTTGAATGTGCTGACAGCTTGTGAAATTGTTTGTCATCAGTGTTACTTCCTAAGTGGACAGTTTGATTTCACAGGTTGATTTACATGGAGTAATTGTGTTGGTGTTCCCTAATGGNGAGTAAAAGAATAAGTTAAAAAACTTGTTGGACTGATTTGGCATGATGTCCTGAGACGTTGCAGCTGATAGGAGTCATAAAACAGAACAGGGGGATGTTAGATGCCCTGACACCATAAATGTGTTAAATGAGTGAAGGAAAATATGAGTGAGCACCAAGCAACAACCCTAGCAGACCAAAGATTTTATGTGCAACCCTAGATATGAAGACATTTTCACATCCAACGGTGGATGGCAGGGCCCTGGCTGCCATGCAGGAGGCGTTTAGGTTTGGCTTGGAACAAATGCCAGCTGTGGAACCAGACATTGCCTCTCTTATTGGCCTGCCAGACAAGGCTTTGCAGCCTAATACTCATCGTCCATATTACAGACGGCCTGCTCTGCAGGGTCGACAACTCGAAGGCCCACATGGGTCAGATTAGGAACTCCCTCTCCCATCTGATCAGTGGCGGCTGGTCAATAGGGGGCGCTAGGGCGCCGCCCCACCACTACTCTTGGTACACAAAAAAATTAAAAAAATTAAAATAACAAAATAAAATCTTATAAATGTTTCGAAAAAAATATCGTATATATGTTTTCTGATAAGTAAAATAAATAATTTAAAGTTATTGATGTGTAAACCTCCATTTTACTCGTGAACTTTTTCATGTTGAGTCACCTCCGGGTCACCAGTTGTTCGCCGCTCCAGACTCCCATAAGCAAGTCATTGTAAGATTTTGGACATGCGCAGTAAGCCCCCAAAGCAAAAGAATACATGAGCCTGTGGCGCACCTCGTCACCGCTCTGCAGCTGACCTCTGGTATTCATTTCTATCGGGTTCACCCTGTCGACGTCTCGACGTCATATTAATGCGGCAGCCGGTGGATTTTGGAGAAGAACAAACAAGAATGAAGGAGAAAACAACACTGTAAGTCTCTTATATCTAAACCTTTTCAAAGCAGAACATATGAGGAGAAACTTAAAGTGGTGTAGCTTGGACAGGATAAGCCAAACATAATAAAAATTGAGCAAAAACGTGGTTTAGCATTAAGGCTTGGCTACATGCTGTTAGCCATTTTGTAACAACTGCTTGTCCTAGATCTGAATGAATGAAATATTCTCATTGAATACTTTCTTCTAAACAAAGTTGAATGTGCTGACAGCTTGTGAAATTGTTTGTCATCGGTGTTACGTCCTAAGTGAACAGTTTGATTTCACAGAAGGTTGATTTACATGGAGTAATTGTGTTGGTGTTCCCTAATGGTGAACAAAACTTAATATAATATAAAAATATTTGTATGTTTTAATTTAGTTTAGTTTTTTATAAATTGCTATTGTTTGTATTTATTCTTAAAACGGAGCAGATATTAAAAGATATTTCTCTGCTTTCTGCTGCCTTTCATTTGATTTTTTTCTTCTGTTGTGCATAGAGTTTATTTTGTTTTTTTAATAAAATTAATACATTTTTAAAATAAACACATAATGTAATAATTAACTTAGAGCTGCAACAATTTGTTGCTATTAAAATAACATAAATTGTTTTCAAATTAAATATTTATTAGAAAGCTCACTTGTAGCCATCTTCATATTGAATTAAATTTGTGTATTTATTGTTTTAGGTTTGTGACACCATCTGGAGCCATTCACATGCATCTGATCAGAGCTACAGGCTGGCAGGTTCCTGCAGGATCACAGACAAGTTTCTGAAGCAGCTGTGAAGACCATGGAGGCTCAACCAGTGCTGAACAGGACCAGGAAGTCTGATCTAGTTCAGGAGCTGCAGCTGCTCTTCATGAGGAACAATCTGACATCTTCAGAGACTGTGACTCTGCTGATGATTCTCATCACATCTCCTCTGACCACAGCTGAATCTGAGCTTCAACACTGAAGAGAATCCAGACTTTCCTCAGGTACAACATCACACCTCACTGTCATGCTCTATAGAGAAGAACCTTATTAAAACATCCCTGACTTGAAGAGTCATGAAGAAATTTGCTTCTCAGTAACAGAAGAGCAAAATGTATGTACAGAAAATAACACAACACATGACATTGTAATGCTGTTTTATCATTTTCATTTGTTTAATAAATACACTGGCGTGATACAACTTAGTACATTTGATTGCTTTCTGAGACGTGTTTTGGAGTTGTAGCCCCACCTGGAGAAAAATCCACCAGCCGCCACTGGTTAGGCTGTAGAAATTACTGGAAATGAATGGAAGTCAATGCACGGTCCTAATTGGGATAGAAATACAAACTTGTGTGTGTATGTGGACAGGTTTTTCCTACAATGTGTGGACAATTTTCCCAAAAAAAGCAACCTTGTGGGGACCGAAGTGAATCGTGGGGACCAATGCCAGATCCCCACGGGTTCAAATGCAAATTACGAGTGTGGGGTTAGGTTTAGGAACAAGGTTTAAGTTAGTTTTAGAGTCAGGTAGGTACCTGTGAGGTTAGTTTTAGGGTCAGGTAGGTACCTGTGAGGTTAGTTTTAGAGTCAGGTAGGTACCTGTGAGGTTAATTTTAGGGTATATGGTCAGGGTGAGGCTATAAAGTCTAAAAAACATGAATGGAAGTCAATGGAAGGTCCCTACAGGGTTCAAGAACAAACTTGTGTGTGTTTGTGTGTGCGTGAAAACAAACAGCTTGAACATCTTTGTGTGTGTGTTCCTTTATTTTTTCCCCTTCTGGTGTGCATATTACCAAGGTGCAAACACACATTTGATCTGTTTGTTTTGTGGGGTTTTTTGCATGTTGTTGTGTTCTTGCATAGCCTCCGTCAGTTGTTATTACAGTGGTCAGTTTGTCTTTGTGGCCCGTGTCCTAAGGGTTCACCAGATGCTTCAAAACCGAGCACAGACAGGCGTACAAGTTTGTCTCGACTTGCATAAGCAGACATAAAAAGATCTATCCCTAACATAATGAATAACACACGAGTGGGGGGAGGTGGAGTGAACGGGATGAAAGTGGGAGAAAAGGATTTTTCCATTTCAACGGATCAACGACTTTCCAATTTGAACACAATTCTCATCTAAAATTCAGACGGGAATGCGGCACAATATTATTATGAGGAAATCAACAGAGAAATTGGGTCACCTCTGAGCTATTCATTTTATGCAGGGGAAAAAAACAAATAAGTAATTTAAAACTAAAAATGAGCAAGAGAGAGAGAGAAGAGGATGACAATAAAAGAAAATTATGGACAGCTAGTGCAAAGATTTACTGAAGAAGAGAACAGATAGATGCTTAAACAGAATGATGTACACAGCAGAGGTGGAAAAACTGTTGGATGCCAGTTTGATGTAGGTCCTTAATAAAAATGGCATACATTGAGTTTGTGTTCATTGCAACAAATGACTAAAAAAAAACTAATACCAATGGTGTTTTGCTCAATAAGAGTGGAGTACGAATGCCAAAGTCTCCATGCACACACACACACACACACACACACACACACACACGCACACACACACACACACACGCACACACACACACACACACG